AACCTGGGCCTGGATTATCTCATCCATCTTCCGGATTACTGACAGCCTTGTGACTAATCCTAACAGATCCTACTCTCACAGATACACCCACGGATTCGTTCTCTTTTTTATTGGTTTTTCTTAATTTTCCCTTTCGCTTTCCTTCGGCTTCATTTTTGCCTTTCCTTATCTCTATCTCTGACTCCCTGACACTTCTCTTCTTGCCTCTTTTCGTGCTTCTGGACCTCAGGTGCCCGGAGTGAGATGAGCAAACTCCCCTGGGCAGCTCCTGCCTGGCTGTGCCAGCCATTTCCATTTCTAATTCAGTCGTTCATGTGTCCATTCATTCTTTCTGTCATTCTTTCATTTCAATATTGATTCTTTTATTTATGGACCTCAGGTGCACAGAACTGGATTAAGCATTATCTGCGGTTCCCAGAGCCTTCCACACAGCGGTCTGTGTGGGGCCGTCTTCTGTTCGTTGATTCTTCTCCCTGGGGATTTGGTGCAGGATTGATTTAACTAGCTCAGGAACCCAGTTTTGAATTGGTCATAATTCTTGCTGCCTTCTCTCCTCTTTTTGCCCTTGCACGGTCCTCTCTCGCACAAGTTTATGTCTTTATTTATTCATCCAATGCGTCTGTATTGCTTATACACATCTATGCATTTCCACATTCCCTCCCCTGTCACTTTCTCTTTTCACTCCAGTGGGCCGTGAGTGCAAAGGGTAGTGAAAATCGTCCATTGTCATCCATTCAGCCACACACTCCTCTAGCCACGTATTTGCGTTTTTATTGATGAACCTCAGTGTTTACTATTTAGCACATTTAATGGATAAAACTGACTCGTTCTCTTTCAGTACTTATCCAGGAGGTACCTTTTCTTACATAGGTCTATTTCACTTTCTTTTCTTACATCTATCCCTCTCTTGTTCTTTCAATTTTTCCATTCCTCACTCCTTTCTTGCATTCCTACGGAATGCATGCATTGATTCTTTCTTTTTCTTTTTGAGACAGAGTCTCACTCTTGTCACCCAGGCTGGAGTGCAATGGCACACTCTCAGCTCACCGCAACCTCTCCCTCCCGGGTTCAAATGATTCTCCTTCCTCAGCCTCCCGAGTAGCTGGGATTACAGGCCTGAGCCACCATGCCCAGCTAATTTTGTATTTTTAGTAGAAATGGGGTTTCACCATGTTGGTCAGGCAGGTCTCAAACTCCTAACCTCAGGTGACCCACCTGCCTCGGCCTCCTAAAGTGCTGGGAGGACAGGTGTGAGCCACCGCGCCCAGCTGCATGGATTCTTTCATTCAGTCTTTCACTTGTGGTTTTTTAAACCAAACTTCCCAGCCGCAGATTTGAATTAATGTGAACGGCTTGTGCTAAACCAGCCCCCTTTTATCACCTTGCTAGATCTTCTTATTTATTATCTTTTTCACTTCCTTTTTTCCCATTTTCATTTTTCCCATGCTATTGTTCCTTTCCACCTCTCGCTCTTTCTGTCATTCTTTTGGAGCTCTGCACCAGGATCAATGACCCTCACACCCTCCTCATTGCTCAATGCAAATCCTTTCTGCCATTCATTCATTCATTCACGCATTCACCACGCATCCATTCAGTCTTTCTGTGTCAACACTTATTTTTACACTTCTAGACAGCAGGTGCACCTAACTGGATACTCCACAATCTGCAGCTAACAGAGCCTCCCCCCGTGGCCCACAGAAGCCCTCCCTTCCACGTTTACACTCTGAGCGGTTCCTTAGTTGGGTAGGTGGTTGGCCATGCCGGCAGCACTGACGCGAATTAAGCAGCCCGCTTGGCTCACCAGCCTTTCACTCCTGTTCTCAGCACGGCTCTGTCTCGTAAATGCGTGCGTCTATTTATTTCTCAATATATTACTTTCTTCCTTTTCACACATTTCTTCCCATTTGTTCTTGCTTTTCTCTCTCTCTCTCTCTCTCACGCGTCCTCTCTTGCACTCTGTCTTCGGAGCTCAGTGCCAGGCAGGGCTGTGTGCATCATACATCCCGCCAGCGCCCATCCTCGGCCCGTGCGGCTCCGCGTCTCACGTATTCCTTCCTTCCTTCGCTCATAGCATCCTTCCTTCCTGCTCCATCTTTTTATTAGGCATTTATTCCTCAGGTGCTGTGATTCCACTAACAGAGGAATAAATGCCTAATACAACCAGTCCTAGCTTAACTCCCCTTGGGGTCTGCCCATTTATCCGTTTGCTTGTTATTTCTTTTTACAGTTCCTTTCTCTATCATAGCTTTCCACACCTCCTGTCCTCCACTCTCATGCAGCTGGAGTGCCCAGAGGGGACCCCAACACCCCCATCAGGAGGACCCATGGGGCCACGTCTTCTCATTCACCTCATCCTTATCTGTTTAGATACTGACTTGTTCACTTAAATGTTTATTATTTAATGGCTAGACTGTGGTTTTCTAGAAGTGGACCAGCCATAGCCCTTAATTTGTGATGATCTTTTGCCACCACCTGTCCCATTGCCTTCTTTTATGTCTTTATCAATAAATTAATATTTCATAAAAAATTAAATATTTCTGTACTTAACATTTGTTACATTTTTCCTTATTTCTTTATGTACCAAGATTTTATTTTATTTTTCCTTTCATCTAACAGACCTCAGTGCACAGGACTGGATGACTCAAAGCCCCTCATGCCGCCTGTCACCCAGCCCTGCACCCCCCCTCATGCTGCCTGTCACCCGGCCCTGCACCCCCGCTCATGCCGCCTGTCACCCGGCCCTGCACCCCCCCTCATGCCGCCTGTCACCCGGCCCTGTACCCCCCCCCCATGCCGCCTGTCACCCGGCCCTGCACCCCCCCTCATGCCGCCTGTCACCCGGCCCTGCACCCCCCTCATGCCGCCTGTCACCTGGCCCTGCACCCCCCTCATGCTGCCTGTCACCCGGCCCTGCACCCCCACGCTCCTCGTTCATTCATTCATCCACACATTAGTATATACTTTTTGGCCCTTCTTTCTTTTGTCATTTACTTATTTATGTGCAGATTTCAAGTGCCCAGACTCAGATAACTTTTGGTAAAAAGACACTCTCACCTTTGGTCCACTGGGTCCCCTTTCTTTCTTTGCTGTTCTTTGAACTCTTTCTCTGTGGTTTCTTTATTTTTCTATGCCAGGAGCACATATGATTTGGATGAGTCCTAATGCGTAGCTTAGAATACCTGACATGGTTCTCCTTACATAGTTACTCATCCTCCACATTGTTTTTTCACTTTTCTATCTTTTACTTGTTGTTTCGGTTTTTTTAAAAACCTTTCCCTTCTCCCTTTTGATCACTCCTCCCCTAACTCGCATCTTTTCATTTTAACGGGCCTCAAAATTGATTCTGCATTCCACTTCCCAAGCATCCATTCTTTCTTTCATTTAGGTGTTCATTTATTTACTTATTTATTTTTGAGACAGAGTTTTGCTCTGTTGCCCAGGCTGGAGTGCAGTGGCACGATCTTGGCTCACTGCAACCTCCACCTCCCAGGTCCAAGTGATACTCCTGCCTCAGCCTCCCGAGTAGCTGAGATTATAGGCATGCGCCACCATGCCCAGCTAATTTTGGTATTTCTAGTAGAGAGGGGGTTTCTCCATGTTGGTCAGGTTGGTCTCAAACTCCTGACCTATGGTGATCCACCTGCCTCAGCCTCCCAAAATGCTGGGATTACAGGTGTGAGCCATGAGGCCCAGCCTTATTTAGGTTCTTTTTAATTGTCGAATGTCAGAGGCATATATTTGAATTACACATATCCCTTAGTCCTTAATGACCTGGTGTCACTGTGTGTTTCCCTATCACTTAGTGATTCAACAGGTCTTTCCTATTCATATACTGACTGCCTGGGCATCAGAGTAGATGATGTACCCGCACTCTCCTCCCGGCTCGCTTACTTTCTTGACCTATGCACTTGTTTATTCCTTCTCTCTTTCTTCATTCATCCATTCATCCCGTCATTTATCACACGATGCAATAGATACCAGGGAAACAACCTCTCAACACCAAGGACATTCACAGTATCCTGAGCATTCCTGCTTCTTCTGAGTCACCCGCCAAGGTACACCCAGCGGGCAGCCCAGAACACACACGAATGGCTGATGCAGGCAGAGACACAGTGAATGGTAGGTTTACTCCCAGACCCTTCTGGGGCTTATGTCCTAGACATGCTGGGGGCAGATCTGAGACAAGGGCCTACGTTTCCCCAGCCCGCCCGGGCAGAGCAAGCACCTCCCACTCTGCCCCTCTGCGCCGTGGTGAATGACCATCCCCATGAGAAACCTGTTTCAAGACCCCAGAATACATAGAGACACACACATGGTACAGAGTCTCCTGGTGGGAAACGACGGACACGGAGTTCATTTTTAAATAGGTGGCTTTGTCTGTCGCAATATAAAAATATTTTGGCCTTTCAAGGCAAATACAAAAGAAACTACCCATTACCATGGCTGAGTGTCTCACTCCCAAACAATAAGAACTTGAAGAGGTTTAGCCGGAAACTTTGAAGACAGAAAATCTGCCCATTATGTTTTCCAGACATTTCGAGGGGGTGAGCAAAGGTCATTGGAGCTCGAAGCCCATTTGGAAGGCTGCTCCCCCGGCCTGCGTTTTCTCCTTGGCCCTTTGAAGGGCCCCCAGCTTACAGGGCACTTCCATCCTAGTCTGCCCTGCAGCACAAGAGCCAAAGGGAGACTCAATCATGAAAGGACCATTCATTTAGAAAAGTAAAAAAGAAGAATTTCTTTTGGGGTCCGACATTTGAAGCCGCCTATAGAATTCTTTTGCCACAGAGACAACACAAGGAGGCTGGGGGCTCCCGTCTTAGAGAACAGGAGCCCCCAGGTCTGCACTCAGCTGGACTCGATGGGTACCCATTTCCCCGTGCACAGACCCCCCAGCCAGTGCCCGCCAGCCCCTCCACGAGGTCCACCTGGCAGTGTGCTCTGGGAGGCAGGCCCCACCCTCAGCAGCAAGGCCACACATGTGCTCTTTATACTCCAGCCACTTACGATTTCAAGCTGGAGGGGGCTGGGGTCCCACATTCGAGGTCCCTTCCCACGCAGAAATCCAGGTGATGGCGTCGGCTGGAAGGAGAAGACACTAGGTCACTGACTGGAACCTCACTCAGGCAGGCAAGGAGGAGGAGGAGGGCGGATAAGGACAACAGCTCTCAGGGGGCAGGGGTGGCCTGGGGCAGTGACTTCCCAACCACCAGCAAGCATGGCATCGGGAAGCCATGCATTTCTCTTGTCACTCCCCTCACCCACCAGCTGTTCATGCAGCAGAAAGGGTAGGTGTGAAGACATGGAACAGACTTGGCTTGGTGCTGTCCACAGAGCGAGGTCCTGCTCTATGGGACCCAAAGGGTTAGGGCACTGCGTAGATGAGAAGAGGGGTGGCCCAGGCCCTGGAAGTTGCTCCCCTTGAGGACAGGGCGTGAGCCTGTGCTCTAGGAGAAGCCAGGTGCCCAGGTCAGTGAACAAGATGGCTGGTTCTGGAGGAGACCAGAGAAGTGGTGTGTGGCCGGGAGGGCAGCCCACGGTGGGCTGCTGGGCTACTAAGGATACTTCCCACGCGGAAATCCAGGTGATGGCGTCTCCTTCCAGCCGACGCCATCACCTGGATTTCTGCGTGGGAAGGGACCTCCCAAAACCATGGCTCGCATGTGTGCCTGGGTAGACGACTCCACTGCGGCAATTCTGTTCACGTGGCGGCAGGCCCTGGGGAGCACCACGACCAGCCACAGAGCATCTTCAGTGGCAAGATTTGCCTTATATTTTCACTTGTTTTTTTTTTTTTTTCCTGTTTTAATCGGGCAGCAGGCTGGGCCAAATGTGGTTCAGAATGCTGCGAAGATTTTAAGCTTTGAAAAAAGGTGACTTCAGAGGAACATCACACACCAGGGCCTATCAGCAGGTGGGGGCTGGGGGAGGGATAGCATGAGGAGAAATAGCTAAAGCAGGTGATGGCGTGGTGGGTGCAGCTAACCACCATGGCACGTGTACACCTACGTAATAAACCTGCATGATCTGCACATGAACCCTAGAACTTAAAGCACAATAAGAAAAGGAGAAAGAGTGACTTCAGCCATGTCAGACACGTATCATGACTCATTTGTCAAGACCCACAGGATGTGGCCGCAGAGAGTGAGCCCTAATGATGTGAACCAAGGCCTTTGGTTAATCATGTATCGGAGTTGCTCCATCGACAGGGACAAACAGAGCACGCCACACGGAGACAGCGTGTGAATGAGGGGAAACAGTGGGGACGGGGTCTGGGGGTCTCTGTACTTTCCCACCAATGTTTGTAAACTGAAAGCTACACAGAAAAATAAACAGTTCATTCATTTTAAAAATGTGTTCAATCAATGGCTTTTAAAATATGTTCACAGAGTCTACTTAAGGTTAGGAGGTGTCACAGAAATGTGACCTGTGACAGCCAAGGTCCCACCAGTGCAGCAAGATGGGTGATGGGGCAGCCAGGGGTTGGGCCAGGAGGAGCACAAGGCAAGGCTAAGGTCTTCAGATACCCTCTCTGGGGACTGTTTCCTGGGTTAGGCACAGGAGGAGGTAGGAAGCCAGGGGGAGACCATGGGATGCCCCCACAAAGCCACCCAGGAAACAGACAGGCCATGAGAGGGATCCGGGGCTGCTGAGAGAGGCAGAAGCCACAAACCACAGGTCCCTGCACTCTGGGAGCCTGCGACGGGCAATCACCTGAAGTCAGGAGTTCAAAACCAGCCTGGTCAACATGGTGAAACCCTGTCTCTACTAAAAATACAAAAGTTAGCTGGGTGGTGTACTCCCAGCTACTCAGGAGGCCGAGACAGGAGAATCGCTTGAACTTGGGAGGCGGAGATTGTAGTAAGTTGAGACTGCACCACTGCACTCCAGCCCGGACAACAGAGTGAGACTCCATCTCAAAAAAAAAAAAAAAAAACAGGTCCCAGGAGTCCAGTTGCCTGCCCCTCTGTGGGTCTTTGAGGGACTCCCAAAGCTGCCTGTCCCCAGGCCTCTCAGGGACCTCTCCAATCTCCACCCCTGCTGCCTCTGCCTCTCTACTCCCAGTCGGTCTCTAGCCGGGACGTCCCAGCCAAGACACAGGAGATACTTCTTGCCTCCAAACCCTCCCAAGAACTCCATCCCCAGCCTTGCCCTCCATAAACGCTGTTTTGCTATAACTGGTTATATGATAACCAAGAACAAGTCTTAAAGTAAGTGTTAGTGATGCAATCATTGGTGCACAGGTGCCTGAGGGGCAGATTTCAGTGACCTAAAGGCTACCAGACCCACCACCCAAGACCGTTTCCCACCCTCCCTCCAAGACTGTGCATGGCTGGGGTGGCCTCTCACCATCGCCACGTCCTGACATGGCACAGAGACTCCAGATCAGGAACACACAGCAAGACCAAAGGCACTGCCATTTCCCACAGAACTCAGAGCCGGGTGCCTTGGTTTGCTGTTTTTGTTTTGCTCTTTTTTGTGTCTTTCATAGGAGCAGGGAAATCAGAAGCAGGAAGGAGCATCTGGGTTTTTTCCTGCTTCTGCTCCAGGGACCCCATGAACCCTCAGAGCCCCTGACTGTCCTTAATTAACTCTGTGTGCAGACCCCAGACTGCTCTGCTACAGTGAAGCCCCGGCCAATTCGGGCTTTGGTTTAAAAAGCTACGTGTGCCGGCTCCAAGCTTGTGTGACGTGTGAATAACGCAGCGCTGGGCTGGAATCTTAACAAATGTCAGAAAAGCTGCAGAGATGAGTCACCATCTAGAACCAAAGGAAAACACGAGGCCTCCTTCTAGAGTCCAGAGGAGTAACTGCTACAAGCATTTGATCGAAGACCTCCTGAGTGCGTGGATGCTCACGCCCCACGCGGAAAGTGCCGGTGAACACAGCAAAAACACGCTCTGCAGCTTAACACGATCAGAAAACTCTCGCTCTGCATCTGACGATTTTAAAAGTTACTCTTTTCTGGAGACAAACAGCACCTAATTGATCTGGCATGTCTTCGGTATAAATAACTTATGGCTGTTTCAAACAGAAAAGGACCGAAAAGGATGATTTTGATTAAAATGTTGATCTCAAGAAAGAGAGCCTGTCGTTACACAAATAATCAGCCTTGCCTCAGATCTCTACTTCCTACCTGTTGAGTAAATACCACCGTCTCATAACTTCCCCTGACAAATGCAAGCACCTTGCAGAGCTAATTTCCTGTACCTTTGTGAGGCCGAGGCCCTGGACATTACGGACCCATTTATGAAAATGGGAGAGGTAATTGGGACATCTTTTGAAATCATGTCCCCTCTCTCTCGCAGGCCCCCATCAGCCCTCTAATTTTACTTGGTCAGGTTACAGAGGATGTTTACATATGCCTCTTCCTGGAATTTCACCTCTTTTGCTTCAGGAGTGGGCAATTAGAGAGAATTAGGGCCTGTTTGGTGCCTGTTTACCGTTAATGGATGGAGCAGCGGAGGCAGCCTTGGGAAAGCAGTCTGCCCGTCTAATTGAAGCCGGCAATTTTTCGATTCCTCATTTCAGCTCACAGGTATTGTAGCAACCAAGGTCACAAAACAAAAGCTGAGCCCACCACAGTAATAGCCGGGTGCAGGCCCGACCAGAGGTTTTGTGAGCTGTTTATAACCGCACGCTGCAGCACAAAGGGAGAGCTGGAAATGTTTGCAGAGCTGAGTGGAAGACAGGCAGCCAGTGCAGCCCGGTGACTAATGACTTTTCCAGAAGTTGCCATCCTGCTGGCTTTTTCAGGAAGTTCTCAGCTGACCGGGCCACAGGGCCAACAGAGGTGTTGGCGAGGGTCTCAGGGCTCAAAAGGCACAGGGTGAGCCACGGGGTGGAGGACGAACATATCCTGGTTCTGAAGCTACAAGGCCAGTCTCATTACCCGAGAGTCACTCTACAGACCCAAAAGGTATTCCGGACCAGCCCAGTAGCCTGCCTGTTTGGAAAAAATGCCCCGTCAAACACGGTCGCTGCATCCTAACTCACAGGGAAGCCCCTGGGAACTTTCTTCCAGCAAGCGCTCTGACCACACTAATGACCTCAGTGACCATGACCCCCTGACCACACATGTCATGCAGGAGCTAGCAACTGGCAGGGGCCTCACCTCCAGGGTCTGCTGCCGGCACAGCGTGCAACTGTGGGCGAGGTTCCAGGCCTCTGAGATGTCTGGCTTCCCACCTCTAAAGCAGAGGGGTCAGTGGACCAGTGACCCCCAAAGTCCAAGCAGCTCCAAAGACCCAGCAAACGAACCGCAGATGAACTCCAGGGAGGCCTGAAGAAACCCCAAGACTGTGGGAGCACCAAGGCCACTCAGACCACTACGGGACTGAGGCCTAGGGGCTGGAGACGGGGGCCAAGGTCACACTCATAGTCAGGGATGAGCCAGGCTGTAACCATGTCTCTTGAAGACTGCTCCCAAATTGCTGGAGAGAGCTAAGAACTCTCTCCTCTGTCTACCTGACAAGTCCCAAGTAGCGACAGCCAGGAGAGTGGACACCCAGTCTGGACACTGGGAGACCTCCGTTCCCTCCTGAAATAGCACTGACCTCCCAGGCTCCTTCTTACTTGGATTATATGGAGAACTGACATTTTACAAATGAGGCTGGAAGCCAGCACCAGCAAAGTCAGTGACGGGCCAAGACCGACCTGGGCCCCCCTCCTGTCACAGCAGGGACTTTGCCCCAGTCCCTCCAGAGTGGCCCCACCCTTACAGCAGTCTGGGGCAGTCGTGATGCAAACAGTTTTGTCTAACCAAAGGGTCCCCTCTCTCGCAGCTGCCCACCGACACTACAGGCCGTGAGACCCCCTCCTCTCCTCCCTAACCGTCAAACAACAGCCCTGTGGATTTCTAAACCCCTACCCCCAAAGCGAATCACTCTCTGTGCAGTCCCAGGAGGGCCCAGAGAAAAGGCTGGAGCGGCAGATGGAGCAGTGGAGGCCAATGCAGCCGTGCAGTGAGCCTTCAGCCCCCCACTGTCCTCCTTCCCCAACTTTTCATCCTGGACCCCTCTCTCCTCGGCCCCATTCTGTCTCTTTGGCTGTATTTCGGGCAACAGGCCCAGGCTGATCTGATTCCCTTTGCTAAGAAACTTTCGACAGTCAATCCCGAGAATCTGAGAGCGTGAGCATCCCAGGGTCGCGTGAACTCGGTGGCTTGTTAAGTGCGTCATTGTGCAGCCTTGGAGCTCCCGACGCACACACAAGGGCAGGGGCCCCACGCAACCCCTGGGAGGAACACACACACACTCCGTTTCGGGGGAAGGTAATTGACGTTTTCTTCTTTTCTTCTGAAGAAAAGGCACCTTCCATTGAAAGGGCGCATTCACAGAACCTGGGAAAACTCATCTGCGCTCAGCCCTCCCAATTATCCCCAGGTGGCTGTTCCCCACGGGGGGCTCCCCCACATTCCTCTCTGCCGAGCCTTTGTTTCCATCTGAAACGGCTCTGGGAGCTCCCAGGCTAAGAGTCTCCTCCTTAAGCCCCTGCCAAAGACCCTATTCACGGCTGAGAGTGGAGGCCAGCTGAAGGTGGTGGGCAGCCTTCCTTTCTCCCAGGGTAGGGGACTTAAGAACTCTCCATCTAGATTTATTTTTAAGCCCAAAGAAATTGGAGAGCAATTAAGAAAGTCAGGGCTACACCCTCTGCCCCCGTCCTCTCCCGCAAAGAACTCCTCTGTCACACACAGCCCCTCGCATTGGGAGGCCCAGGGCGGCCCTGTGACCCAGCACCTGCTCTGTATACGGGCAGCCCACCATCGCCAAGGGCTTGGGGGTGACGGGAGCTGAGAGGACAGACAGAGATATGTCCCGAGTCCTTGTCACAGTTTGTCCTGAGTAAAGTGACCACAGTGTTCTATGGTGAGGATGGGGGCCCGGGCCCTGGCCTCAGGACCTGACTCAAACCCTGAAGGCCCTAGGAATTCCAGCTCTATGGACACCTCAAAAGTGGGCCTTGCCAGGCGCGGTGGCTCACGCCTGTAATCCCAGCACTTTGGGAGGCCGAGGCCGGTGGATCACAAGGTCAAGAGATCGAGACCATCCTGGTCAACATGGTGAAACCCCGTCTCTACTAAAAATACAAAAAATTAGCTGGGAATGGTGGCACATGCCTGTAATCCCAGCTACTCAGGAGGCTGAGGCGGGAGAATTGCCTGAACCCAGGAGGCGGAGGTTGCGGTGAGCCAAGATCGCGCCATTGCACTCCAGCCTGGGTAACAAGAGCGAAACTCCGTCTCAAAAAAAAAAAAAAAAGAAAGAAAGTGGGCCTCTCGGATAAGGGGTCCCTCCACGACCATTGGATCCAGCTGGTGTTGGGACCCCTCTCCTGGCAGGGCTCCTGGGAGAAGATACAGTGGGCGAGGGGCCACGTGCTCCTCACCAGCGCCAAGGGCCCCCCCACACTCCCACCTTTCCTGTCTCTGAAACACTGACCCGATGCGTTCCAAGGAGGCAAGCCTGTTCTGTGGCTCCATTTCCTTAGACACCCCCAAGAACCTGTGGGCAGCCCAGGCATGGACGCCTTGTCTGAATGGGGCATCACAGCCACAGCCTCTCCGTCCCCAGAGTCATCCTTCTCCTTGCCAGTCTGGGAACCCCACATTTGAGAGGCCTCATTTTGAAAGGTAAAACTCTTTTCTAGACTTTTCCATCTGCTCAAATTGGGCATAGGAGACCAGGCTAGACATCCTTATTCCTCCTTTGGGAGAGGCACAGGGCTCAGAGAAGCATCGGGGAGGGGGAAACAGTCCTTGGGACAATTCACAACTCATTAATTCCAGTCTCCTAAAAAGAAGCCGCCCCCAGAGACCCAGGGCTTTTCCACTGAAGCTCACAATGCCCCCTGCCCTTTAACCCTTTTCGGACCTGAATCTGTCTCCCTGCACACCCCCTTCTGTGGAAAGCTCCCTTCCCCTTTGCAAGGAAAAATTCATTAGCAAGCTCATTAAAGACGGGTAAATTTTCTTTTCCATTCTTTCTGGAAGTCAGATTGCTCATAAAAAAACACATTTACGTTATTTCATGTAAATGAATGAATAAGAAGTCCATGCATCCTGTTGCCCCTAAGTCTTGCTGAGTCTTGACATTATTTGGAGAAATGTACTTGGAAAGACATTTGGGGTTTGGATCACAACTCAGGAGGCAGGAGGTCAGGGGTCCTACAGGCAGCCACGAGCAACTCGCAGGTGAGAGAAGGTGGGGGCGAGGGAGCAAATGAGGGGCTGTTTTCTTCCTTTCCGTGAGCTCAGGCCTGAGCCAGCCTTTGGTAGCAGGTGGAAGAGGAGAGCCAGTTTCCAGACCAGACCACCATCTTCACCCTGACACTTGCACCACCCAGAAGAGTCCCACTAGAGACAGCCCCCCAGGAACCACTTAGCCCTATGACAAATGCCCAGATATCCCCCACCGCCCTCCACCGCCGTGACAGGATCCTCTGTGGCTCACTGCCTGCTCAGTCAGGGTCTTGTCTCCACCCTGTATTGCTCAGGCATTGGCCAATCCATCAAAATACATGGCCAGGAGCGGTGGTTCACGCCTGTAATCCCAGCACTTTGGGAGGCTGAGGTGGGTGGATCACAAGGTCAGGAGTTCGAGACCAGCCTGGCCAATATGGTGAAACCCCATCTCTACTAAAAATACAAATATAGCTGGGTGTGGTGGCGGGCACCTGTAGTCCCAGCTACTGGGGAGCCTGAGGCAGGAGAATCGCCTGAACCCAGGAGGCAGAGGTTGCAGTGAGCTGAGATCGTTGCCACTGCACTCCAGCCTGGGCAACAGAGTGAGACTCCCTCTCAAAAATAAAAAAATATAAATAAATAAAATAGAATGTTCCTGAAAATGATCACGTCTTTCAACACTTAATAACAGCCTTTCAGCAGTTCCCGAGAGGCTCATCGGCGAGGCTGATGTACTATGTCACATTTCAACTTCTTTAGCTGAGAATGTGGTATATGTTTACCTATTTTCTACCTCATGACACACAAAATCCCAAATACATGTTTCCTGAGACTGAACACTCATGAGCACCTGAAATAGAACTCAGTGCAAAGACGGTTCCCTTTCAACTCCTGAGAGCCAGGGGCTGGCAAAGTGCGGTCCTGTCTGGGCCTCGTCTGTTTGTCCCGGCCTTCACTCTGACTCTGCTCCTGGGCTTAGTCCTCCTTGGGAAAGTCCTCAGGTGTCCTTGAGAAATGAGTTCCGGAGCCGAGGGGATCTGGTTCAGACCAGCTACGCAAATGCATTCTCGGAAGCCTGGGACACATCCCCCCAGGAGCCCGGCATCCTGCCCTGTGCAAAGCTCCCCTCCCAGGCCTCTTCTCCACATCACTGTGTTTGCAGGTGGCTCAGCAAATGCTAGCCTTGGAGTAAATGTCACAGGGCAGAGTGTTCCTGGGCCCCTCCCTGGGTTTAGCCCTGGGCACACACTGCCCCCGTCTCTCCAGGCTGAGGGGCTCTCCAGAGAGCAGAAGCAAGCAGACAAAGGCAACAGCCCAGGTCAGAGCGCCTCTGCCCCCTCTGCCTCCGCTGCCAGATTTGTTTAAAAATAATATCCCCATCCTATTTCAATTTCAGGGGAGAAGGGCAGGGCTGCAGAAGAGCTGTCTCCAAATCCTCTGTTTGATTAAAGAGCATTATGGAGGTTGCGCTGGAAACCGGAGACTCTGCGGGGTGGGGGGCCGGGGCGGCACACGGGCTGCAATGTTTGGAGGACTGGAGGCTGGGCGTGGCCCGGCGTGCCACTCTGCTCCTCCACTTCCCTCAGGAACCCCATGTGTGGGTATCTGGGGGGAGTATGGGCATCTGGGCCAAGGACAGTGCTACCGCTCACTCAAGGCTCCATAAATGTCAGGTGACACTGAGCCAGCCTCACCCCACAGTTCAGACCTTTCTCAGCGCCCACCCAGGGCCCCTGGGAAGCCTTACTGTACTCATTCATGCCAGTGGCCACCCCAGGGGCATCAGATATAAAGGATATCGAGAGGCTGACACTGTCCCCCAGGGCAGCTGGCTCTAAAAACACCCCATCGCCCTGAGTGAACCATGGGCTGCTCAGTCCCTGGGACCCCGGAAAGGAAAAGTGCCCGCTGCTAGGCCTCCGCTCTTCCTGCCGGCCCAGCCTTCACCCCAGCATGGCCGTCCAACATGCAACCCTGAGCCCCTGCCCCCCATGCCACTTTGCTTGGCTGCCGTGCAAGCCACTTCACTGCATGGCTGCTCCCAGGGCACCCAACTAGACCCTCTGGTCTTCAGTGCAAAGCCCAGCCTCAGGCACCCCAAACGAGCCCAAGCCCATGCCCTAGCCAGCTCCCAGGTGCATCTTGAATGAGTAAACCACAAGTAAACACATGCGCGAGTGAACACTGTGGCTCCAAGCCCTGTGGCTCCAATCCCCGTGGCTCCAATCCCCTGCTCTCTTCCTCTCTACCATTGCTGATTTCCTTTAAACAAACAAAAACATTCCCATCTCATTGCAATTTCAGGGGTGAGGAAAGGAGGCCAAGAGAAGAACTTGCTGCAAAGCCACTATTTGATTAAAGGACATTATCGAAGCCTCATGTGTGAGAAACCACGATTCTCACAGGGCTGGTGGGAAGAAACGTCTTCCCAGCTGAGGAGCAGCAAGCATTCCCACTTCCTCCTATGTGAGCAGGTCCGTGGGCCGGGAGTGGGCCCGGAATGCACCCTGCATCCCGTGTGCCACTATGTCCAGCAAGGTACTGAGGACTCCTGTGTGCTGGCCCCAGCTGTTCTCGGGAGTCTGCCGTGGAGGTGGAAGCATCCCACTTACTGTCGCTGGCCCACAGCATGCCATCGGCCAGGGTGGACGCCCACACGTGCTGGTGGGGGTGGTGAGGCTCTCCACTCCAGGCAGCTGTCAGGCCCCCAGACCTCCGGGGCTATGTGGACAGGATTCACCTTGGTAGTTTGCCCCCTCCCCAGATTAAATGCTGACACTCTTGAACAGAGAGGAGAGACATGAACTGACCCTAATAAAATCCTGCTGTCTCAAGAGAGCAAGAAACTCACCCCAAACCAGGAAGAAGGAAGGCTCGGGTCCGGGGTGGTGGGTCCCATCAGGGGCGCTTCCTCCACTTCCATCTGCAGCTCTTCAGCTGATTCAGCCAGGCCACGGCCCACGTAGCTTGGGGAAGGGCAGAGAGTTAGGATCATGGCAAGGCAAGCACCCCGGAAAAGCCACACATGCCCGAGACAGACACAGGGCAAGGCCTCACCTGCAGGTTGCTCTCCAGTGAAGTGGAGTGACTGCTGGGGGCAATGACAGGAAATGGTCCAAAGAAGCAATAGCCCGGGCTAAGGGCAGCCCCAAACCCAACACTGAGTGGGGAGCCCGGGACTCTGGGGGCCATGTCGGGGGCATAGGCAGGCAGGGGCAACACCCACCAGGGCCTGATCACGAGGGGTCTCTGGTACAGGACATGTCTGTCCTCAGCCCTGAAGCCAGGCCCACAGGAGAAGGCATTGGAGGACGCTTGGCAGGAGATGGAGACTCCAGAAGGGGCTTGTGGGGGCACTGGGTACCTGCTGGGAACAGGCAGCTGGAGAGGGAGAGGCTCCCAAGGCAGGGAGCGGGGCGGGGGCGGGGGGGTAGTCAGACCACAGGAGGGCCCAGTGACCACAGGTATGGGCTTGGCAGAGAGAACAAGCCAGAGGGCTGCACAACTAAGCCCTGGAGCCCAGGGACTGAGGCAGAGAAGAGGAGATGGGCCTGCGAGCAGAATGCTTGGTGAGTAAGGAACCTGGCCGCTGGAGAGCCAGCTGAGCCACCAGGGAGAGAAGCAACCAGATGGGCAAAGGCAGAGCCTGCAGACGCACCCTGGAGTTTTCCCCGCTGGTCCCCGGCATGGGATGCCGGCCTCAGCAGCTGTTAGAGGGTCAAGGAGCTGGACCAACCCCCGGGGGAGGAAAGCATCACGGCAAGGGAAGGGTCGAAGTCACGACCGCACCTCGAGAGGGAGACCTGTGGCCAAAGCCCGGGGGCACACACTACCGCTGTTCCCATGCCCACATTGGTCCTGAGACTCAGGCCCTGGGGTCCAGAACAGCTCAGCATCAGGAATGGGGCAGGGAAGGCCGAGAGGGAGGACGGGCTGGCTCCCACCAGAGCAGAGCCCTGGCGATGGCTGAAATCTGCCCTCACACCCTCCGGCCTGCCCTCCATGGAGCCGGAGAACAGGCTGCTCCAGCCGCTGGGGCGACCCCCCGGCCTGCCCTCCTGGGATGCAGAGGCCATCAAGGGATGCGCTACGGTGACAGGTGCCCAGGCCAGAGCCAGGGCTGTGGGCTTGCTCAGTTAGGATCAACTGTTGGATGACGGAATGGCCGCGCGAGTAAATGCAAGGACGCGACCAGCAAGGCCCCCGTTCAAATGGGGCAGGGGTCGGAAGCTGCCCACACCCCTCCGGGAAACGAATCCACCCTGCACCCTTTTCACCTGGAACTCCTCGCATGGCCCACCTAGTGGCTCAGCTGCGGTGGTCGAGTCCTTTCATTCAGTCGCCTGGAGAAACCAACATCCCACATACTCTAACTGAGCCCCATTCTGTGCCAGGCTGGCGCTGGGACACCCTGAGGAGGTGTGGGGCTGTGGGGCTGGCCAAGGGCATCCTAGGAGGGCCAAGTCAGGAATTGGGAAGGGAGAGAAGGAGACATTGAGAGAGGATAGAGAAGGCAACAAGCAGAAAAAGCATTTGGCTCTTAGAGGAATCCAGTGGGGACACTCCCTGGCCATGCGCCTCCTTTCCCATCTGTCTAAGCTGCATCTTCCCCGTTTCCAGGAGATAACTTTGATGGCTCAAGGGATGTTATGGGATGAGCAGGCTCTGGGTCAGAGGACCAACAAGGGAAGCCAGCCAGGCCCCTGGACTGAAGAGTTGGGGCAGGGCTCCCTGTGCACAGGTGACTGAGTACTACGTCCTCTCAAGGCACAGACCTGCCCCTGCTGGCTCTCAGGTGCCCCAGAAACAAGTAGCCAGGTTAAAGGTACCACCCCTACACTCAAGGGAGCAGTGAGACCCCTCTGCCAATGCCTCGGAAAAGTCCAGAGACCCAAGCAGGATGGGGATGTGGGGGGATAACTTTTGAAAGTTTATTGGCCCAGCACTGTGGCTCACGCCTGTAATCCCAGCACTTTGGGAGGCCGAAGTGGGCAGATCATGAGGTCAAGACATCAAGACCATCCTGGCCAAAATGGTGAAACCCCGTCTCTACTAAAAATACAAAACTTGGCTCTGGGTGGTGGGGCGCTCGCCTGCAGCCTCAGCTACTAGCGAGGCTGAGGCAGGAGAATCGCTTGAAACCAGGAGGCGGAGGTTGCAGTGAGCTGAGATCGTGCCACGGCACTCCAGCCTGGTGACAGAGCGAGACTCTGTCTCAAAAAATTAAAAATAGAAAGTTTGTTTCTCTGTAGGAGGAACTGCAGAGAACCTGCCCGGGGCCAGCTGATTTCTTCCAGACCCTCTCCAGGCTCGCAAATGTCTGCAGGGTTCCTGGAGTACGGCTTCGGGTCCTGTATTTGAGGGTGAGGATTCTTCATTACTATTGAAAGTATTCTCATCTAGAAACGTCAGGTGTGCTGTTTTTCTATTCTCCAACAGCTACATGGGAGGGGGCTGGGTTTTCATGTGATCTCAGTTTCAGAGGTCTACACCCCAGTCCACCCCAGTCCCAACGCTCCCCTAGACAGAGTGGGTCACTGCGAAAGTCTCGCCTTGACAAAAGGGCTGGAGGATGGCCTCAGGCTTTTGCTCCAGCCGGCCAAGGGGAGATCTTTCCTCATTCTTTTTTCTGGGATGCTGGGCTAGAGTTGGTTTTGCTAACTTGGAAAAAGTATCCAATTTTAACTCACGATGTCAGAGAACCTTTAGCCAACAGATTCACTAAGTAAAGTCCCTTAAGGTTTCAAGGAATATCATTTTCTTGCTCTCACTTCCTCCCTTATACCCTAGTTTTTTTCCATTTGGCTGAAGGTCCGACTGGAGCCTAAGGTTTAATTGGAGTGATCTAATCATGATTGATCTGCCTTGGGGTGAGAAACACCCAGATCGAGGGACAAATAAGCGAATGATTCAGACTCGGGACACACCTGCTCTAAAGACATCAGTGGGCTCCAGGAAGCTCAAAGATCAGGACACGGAGGATGAGGGTTCAGGCAGGGCACAGGACACATGGGTGAGCGTGGTAAGAGGCCAATCAGAACACAAGTTCTGACACCAGATGTGAGTTTTAATCTCCTCTCTGCTGCTTGATCCTGACAAATCACTAGCCCCCGCCTGCACCCCAACTTCATCAGTATGAAGTCAAACCTGAACCCCAAACTATGCTCTTAAGGGGGCCCTCTGGGATGCCAACATTCACTTCTTCACCTGGCTGGGGATTCCACGGGTATTCACCCTGTGGTCACTCCCCTAGGGCTATGCCTAGCAGTTAGTGCTTTCCTACCACTGGTTAATCTTGAGTGAGTTTTGGGTGTCCTCCGTGGGTCCTGAGAGGACCCCCTCATCCTCAGCTCTTGGAGAGCGAATGGCCAGTTGCATCTGCACGAAGGATCAAACAAAGCAGCTTTCTACCATGGAATTCTGTCCACAGCCCCTTTCCCCAAGCTGCCTGCCACTTTCAACCCCACTGAACGGACTTCACACTGGGACAGAGGCAAAGACTTAAATGAGGAGCAAAAGAAACGTCAGCTCCGGCACCAAAATTAGAAGTGTCGCTTAAGAAGCCACGCCGCCCCTGCCCGGCGATGGCCAGTTCACCTCATGATGATAATCAGTGTGTTTTTCCTTCACAGACAAAGAAGGCTCCTTATGCGACGAATATTGGAATCCAGCAGCTAACCTCATTAACGTCTGCTGCCTCTTCCTTCGACAAGGCCTGAGATTAGCCTGTGTTCATTAAGGGAAAAGGGTGGAAAGTGGAATAAAACTGAAAAACACCGCCGGGGTAAGGGGGAGGGGAGGCCCTTTTCTGTTAGCCATTCATTCACTGAAATACTCCGGGTACCGTCGGGGGAGTTAATCACCAGCCGAGGGGATGGTGGGGAGGGGCAGGGTTTACCAGGATGTGAGGGGTAAAGAGGTTAAACTCGATGGAAGAAGTGAAAAAACCAAAATAGGGTGATTTGATGTGAAAGCTTCCTGGGACTTGTCCTTGGGATAATCACTTTAAAACCTTCTTCCTGTTTGCTTTCTTTTAGCCAAACCGAACGTAAGGGGAAACCGCCTTTGGATGTGTTTTTGGTGGCTTTTAATATCTCTAAGCCTCCTTTTCTGACTTGTTTTCTCTTTAATGCCTTTGTTTCTCTCCTCCTGTCTGCCCTGCACACCCCACCGCCAACCCCTCTCCACTTCTTTCTTCTCTCTCTGGTCGCCCCGTGGGAACTTCATGTCTACAAAAATCTAGTGAAATCTCCAGTCGTATTTTCTCACGAATGCCTTATTGACTTTGCCTCAAAGTCCTTCAAACAGCACCTGGCGCTTACCTGGGAGACATCCCACCTGACCTGCCAGATAAAGATGACTAACCCTATTTTAAAAGTGAGATAAACCTGGCTTGGAAAAGTTTACCGACTCCAAGGTCGCAGCACCGAGCAGTTTAACTAGGACTCGAACCCAGATCAGTGACTCCTGACTCTGGAACCTGCTTCTTACTATGCTGTCTACACCCCGTACGGGGTCAGTCCCCCCCATGAGGGTGTCCTGGGTATGCAAGTTCCTAGGGGTGCTAAGAACGGGAGGAGGAGGAGCAGGTGTCTCTGTGAAGGGGAGTGTAAGTGCACAGGAGTGAACCGGCGCCGCAGAGACCTGTGACAGAAGGAATGGAAACGCGTCCTTGTGTCCATGAGTGGCAAACGTGCTGCGGGTTAAGCCACAGAAAAGTCTTTACCTTGGTGAGAGCCCTTCCACGGAGTAGAGCGAGTCAGGAAGCAGTGGGTTGAAGAGGAAATTGGAGGTGAGGAGGGAAGACAGCAAATGTGGGCAGGCCTTTCAAGAAGCTTGGCTGTGAAAGGAAAGACAGAGACTGTAGCGGCTAGAAAAGATGACAGCAGGGACCTGGGAGGCTCCAGGCTGCAGGCAGAGCGAAGTCAGAAATGCAGAGGGAAGCCTCTGGAGGAGGCTGGGGCTGAGGGAGGTACAATGCTTCCTCTGGAACTCAGGCAGTGGGGGCTCAATGGGCCAGTGAGGACACCTAACCTGCAAGCGCTTGACAGCCTCTGTTTCCCTGGGAGTGGCAGGCCGGCCCTGGCTCAGGACAGGGAGTTGTGAGGATCAAATGAATGGACGCTTGCAAAAAGTGACCGAAACATTCCCTGCCATTACTCACTGGAGAGCCCACTCGAATCTCACTGGGGCCTGGATTTTCACCAACCATAAATTATGTGTCCTGAACTTTAAGGATATAAAAACCACTGGTAAAAAGCTCCTGCCAGTCTCTGGAAGACAAAAGGTCCCCTCCTAATAGCCCGGATTAACTCAAAGCAGGTCTCCGCCCACTTCATTTGTCACCGTGCAAGTCATCCTCGCACCTCCATTTGCCACATAATCCAATCAGCGCCTTTCAGAGGCCGGGCGGCCATTGTCCGCAGCGAGTGGGATTTCTCTAAGGCAGCCCACGTAGTTTTTGTCTTGTCCGGACAAAACTGGTCGGTTTAAAGGGGGACCAAAGAGAGTGCTGGTCAAACCAGGACCCCAGTTAGGTTCCAAGAGCCCGTTTTCACGATCTTTGCATCAGATGCCTGGTGCGCTGCACATATTGTCGGTGCTCCAGAAAACGTTTGTTGAATTAATTCGCTTTTAGTTATTCTGGAATTTCTGAATGAACACAAATGTACATAGCACCTACCGGGTGCTGTTCTCACTAAGGCGGAATAGGCCTGGACATGGGAGCAAGGAGGGACAGCCTCGGGTGTTTAAGTAGCTTGCAATTTCCACAGCAATTTACAAAGCACTTTCATAGTACTTACAGCATTTGGTCTTCAAAAGCGCCCTGTGGGGTAGATACACCCGGGGGTGTGTGGTGGGGTGTGTGGGGGGGGGGGTGTATGTGTTTTCATCTCCATTTAGACCATGAAAGAAACTGAAACTTAGAGAAGTTAAGCGACTTGTTTAAGGTCACACCATTATTAAAAGGTGAAGCCAACGCATGGTACCAGCAGTGGGGCCACCCAGACCCCCAAGCCCACCCCAGGCAGCTGGGATTTCAAACAGACTGTCCCGTTGTCAAACGTTTGGTTTAAAACAAAAAGACTCTTAGTATAACTCTGGGACAGAGAGGAAGAGGGGGTGAGGGCAGCTACCATGGCACCCTGGGGCCAACTCAGACCCCTTCTCTTGCCAGCAATGTGACCAAATACTCACATCTTCCCCCAAGTTTCAGTTTCTTTAATGTAAATGTAAGTCCTCACAGGTCCTCTTTCCCTTTCAGCTTTTTTAAATTACACGAATCAATACTACCAAATGCATTGTCACCTGTCAGTTACATACACACAGTACATAAAAACCACATGTTCATGTCACATAGAAAGTGCTCTGGAAATGGCCACATGCATAATTCGTGTTCTTACTCAAGTCAGCCCGCCGGTGGTCTCTGCAAGCCCCTACCTGATGCAAGGAGAGCCCCGTGGACAAGGGCTGCCTGGAGTGCTGCTGGACAATAAACAGGATGAGTAAGACAAGCAAAAGGGGTGGGAAGGGACTGACCTGACAAACCTTTTCAACAAACATTTGCTGCTCACCTCCTCTATGCCAGATCCTGCCTGAGGCTTCTTTAACCTCATTTAATTCTCACAACAACCCTAGGAGGTTGCTCCCATCGACCCCATTCCCCAGAAAAGGACAGAAAGATCTCCAGAGAGGCAGGGCATGCCTTTGGTGATTCAGTAGCATGCTCATTCCAGAAGCCCACCCAGGGCCTTGGAGTTGCCAGCAAGATGCTGGTCAAGCCCTCGGCCCAGGTCCCCCTCCTGAGAAATTCCCAAAGGGATCCTTCCATTTAGGACATCGTAAGGGTGATGACAGAGACAGTCGAGAAAGACTGACACCCCCTTGGGGAGGGAAGCACTCCAGTTTGCTAGCAGGTGAACACAAGCAAAGATGTATAGGAAAGTACTCATAGAGTCAAAGCATGAACACAGCAAAGGTCAGGGCTTAACACCCAATGCCCCCTCACTAGGGCATCGGTTTAAGTCTTTGGGCAAGAGGGACAGCAGGCTGGTCAGTTCTGGTCCTCTTCATCCTTTGCCATCCTGGTCCTGGGGGTCTGTCAGTGGCTGCCTTGTATGCTGGTGGGATCCAGGAATCTGTGCTCCTAGTGCCCTCTGCAATTAATCAAAGGTTAGAGAACCTGCTTAAAAAAGTCGTGGCCTAGGTCATAATTACAAGTTAAGTTACTTCATTATAATTAAAGCTGATTAGTTCAAGTTTAAAATTGTCTTTTAACTGCTAGTGGGTCTGGGGTTGGTGCAAGGACGGTGTGGGGTTGGGAGATTCTCCCCATCATGTTGGATATGAAATGATAGCTGGAGGGCTGAGGTACCGTGAGGTGTAGATGGGCAGCAGGCCCCTTGGCAGCAGCTCGGCATGGACAGTTGGTGGTCCTTGAAGACAAGGAGGTGGATGGATGATGTCATCCCTGAGGAGAGACCCTATGGCACGGGAGGGGGGCAAGTTAGAAACCATCTTTAAGACTTCTAATGGCCAGCACCGGAACAGCAGAGAGCGGAAGGGGGCAGGCAGAGCGACAGGCAGAGGAGTGGCAAAGGGGAGGAGTGAGCAAGGCGGTAGGGAGGGGCTGGGAGGGAAGAGGAAGGGGTATGCAGGAAGGAGGGAGAGGAAGGGGGGAGGAGGGAAGGGGAGGGGAAAAGAGAGATAAGGAAAATGAGGGGGGAGGGGGGAGGAAGGAAGAGGAACTATGAAAGAGGGAGGAGGGAGAAGAAACATAGGAAGGGGAGGAGGGACAGGGGAAACGAAAAAGGGCGGAGAGGAGAAATGGGAGGGGGAGGAGAGGAGTGGGAGGGGGTAATGATGATTTGATTGACAGGTCACAAGTGTTAGCTGTGTACGCGTGCGCAACTGAAAGCCCAGGGTAGCGGGGCAGGCACAGACCGCTAGGGGGCGCGCGGCCCTCACCCTGAACCCGGGAGCGCAGCCACCTGCGGCGCCCCCGCCTGCGCCTGGCGGGCCTGGACGGGCAGGGGGTGCCCAACAGGTCTTAGGCGAGGAAGGGCTGCACAGCCCACCCCAGACCACTGCACCAGGCCCCTACACCCCCTCGACGCCTCTCCAGCCAGCACCAGCCAGAGCCCACCTGTGGCCACCCAGCGCCTCCCACCCACGCCAGGGGTCTCTTGCACTCGCAACCACCAGGACCCCCACCCCAGAGGAACGTGGGCCCCCCAGCGAACCCGTGCCAGGCCCCTCCAGAGCGCTGCTTTGCCTGCGACTAGGAAACAGAGAAATCTCATCTCCCACCTTCGGCAATCCAATTAAACACATCTTCACTAAAGTCAAAAAGACCCAGTCCTCCAGACACCGCTGTCACCCATGTGGGTGGTCTCAGGACGAGACAGAACCTACGACATCGCTGGAAAGTAACGCAAAGGGGGCCACCCCGCCGCCCCCGCCTTCGCCCCCAGGTGTTGACATTGCGCCCCCAAAGTCGTGCCTCCCTCCTTCGCCACAGCAACAATTTCTAGACCCCGTGCGATGGCGCCTCACTGACCCTGTCGCAGCCTCTCTCTCCATCCTGCTCAAATGAGCAGCACCTTCCTAAGACCCCCGAAACCAAAAACCACTGGAAATCAACTAACGTGTGTCCGCGCGCCTCCAAGACATCCGAAGCCACGGCGCCAGGGCCGACCCCAGCCTCTGTGGCCGCTCCACGGTGAACCCGGGGGTCTCGAAACTGTTCCCCCTTGGGTAAATGAATCCAGGATCCTCCAGTGGATCCCTCGCCCGACCCCCTCCAGCAGGAGAACAAAGGCCACCTCCCCTCCCCACCCCGCCCCCCAAAATTCCGCAGTGACGCCAGCGCCCTCTCGCGGCCAGCCAGGAAACCTTCCAGAAACCTGCCACGTAGCCACCCGGCTGCGCCCCCACCAGGCCCGCCGGCCCAGGGTGGGAGGGGGCGTCCTGGGGGGCCTTGACAGGGACAAAGGAAACGGCAAAAGGCGACTTGACCAAAGGTCCAAGCCTGCAACACGTCAGGATTTTCGAGAGACCACCACGCAAGGCTGAAAAGACCCCCACGGCCCTTCCTCCCCAGCTCCCAGCGTCCATACCCCAGCAACACACCCCCTTTTCTGAATTTCTCTTCCCTCTTCTCAGATCCAAGGACACGGCCGTCTCTCATCTATTCTGCCTGTGCCCCCCGATCCCTCGCCCCCCTTGAGCAGGGACTGATCCTAGGGGGCTCCTGGCAGGTTTGCACTTGGGCGCCATCTCTCTCCACTGTGAAAGTGGCTGCTCAGGGCAGAACCAGATGATATCGGATAGAAATTGTACTCTACATTTTGCCTGGAGTCCACCCTGCACTAAACCTGTGTATTTGGATTTGGAATCCCTCGCCGAGAGGAACCTCCACTCCTCCCGCCCACAATCCACCAAAAACCTGGCCAACAACTGGCCAGGCGAATCCGCCCGGGAGACCCCTCCATTCGGGTGCTCCCCCCTAATTCATGGGGCATGCAGAAGGCTTCGCCGCCATATCTCCCACTATTAACGCAACTCTAGAGGCGCTCCCAATACAGAAAATCCGGGGTTCACCCCCCAGTGACTGACATACACCCGAATCCAAGAGGGGTTCCATCCGATTCCTCCTGCTCCTCTGAACTGAAGTCCCTACCACCCAGCCCGCCCTCAAGGACTGGACCTTTTCGAGAGGAGCCCTGACTTCCCCCCAGGAGTATGTGCCTCGAGATTTTCCTTCTGACAAATTTCGCTGGGGACGCTTGGGCACCAGACGAAGTGGCCGCCTCCAGCAGCAGGACCGGGATCCGGCTCTCGGCCTGTCCAAGAGGACAGAGCCCACCCTAGAGGGGGATGCAGTCTTCCTTCTGCACATCCTTTGCGGCAAGGATGGCCAACCACTCACCAGGTGAGGGATCCTCGCGTGGGCGCCCCAGCTCTCCCGAGGAGCCGCAGCCAAGGCCAGCGAGCCAAGGCGCGCTCCTTCTCCGCTCTCCGCCGTCTGCGCTAGTGGCTGGCTGGGTGGGGTTTATATGGAGGCGCAGAAGGGGTGGTCTCTGACGTCAGCGCATTCTGCTGCAATGCGCTCATTTCTCTAAAAGTGATTGGCCGGAAAAATGAGCCCCCCAGATTCTATGACAAATTGCTCTAGCCGCACCCAGATTGCAGCAAAGAAGGGAGGAAAAAATTCTGCCGCAGTGCCCCTGGCCGCCATGACCAACACCCTGTGGTCGCGGGTGCTTTTTCCCTGCGTGATCTCGGCTGGCCAGGCAGGGTGAATTCGTGCACAATGTGTGTGGGGAATCGCCCCAAGGGTTGGCGTCCTCCCGCGGCCGAGGGCCAAGGTGGGGCTGTCGGGGAGCAGATTCCACACCTGGCGGTTTCGGAACATCCATCAGAGGATGCGGGCTTAGCGAAAGAAAACGATGCTTTCTCTTACTGTTCAGGAAAATAAAATGCCCGGGTGACATAACTAGTTCCCAGATGTAAGCCGGAGGCTGTCACCCCCTCCCTGCCCACCCGTGCGTTTCTGACCGTTCTCTTTGAGACAAGAGAGACAGAGCTCCGAGTCTCCGAGTAAGAAAACCTGGCTTTGAGTCCTGGGCTCCAGCGCTTACAACTCGTGTACGCGGAACCCGCTATCCCCCTTCCTCTTCCTTCCTCTTCCAGGGGGTCTGTTTCCTCCACTTTAACGAGGGGCACCCCCCCACACACACACACACACACCAGGGTTGTAATAAGAATCCGGGCAGGAGCCGTGCCCTCTAAGGAAAGTACTTTTAGAGGACAGACTGTGTCCCATGTGCACTACCCCTCAAAGTTGGGGTGATCCCCCACGCATGCCCTTGGAAAGAGCCCCACCGACACCACCACCCCGGAAAGCAGGCAGCCACACATGTTGCGCCGAGCCCCGTCGCGGTCTCGGGCTCCGGGGCTGGTACACGAGCGTTAATCCCTAACAGGTGGGAGCCCTCGGCAGCTCTGCCCGGCTCTGAGTGCCAGAGCTTGCACGGCCGTCAATCAAATGTCCTCTCGCAAAGGTCAAAATGCTGTTGAAAGGGACCGAGGATCTATCTTAGGGTGACAGGTGGGTGGCAGCCGGGAGGACAAGCATGGAGTGCCGGGTAGCAGAAAGCGGGTGAGGATGAGCAAGGGGCCCCAGAGAGGACAACAGAGAGGCCCCCCCCACCGAGGGCATCAAGTCCGAACCGCTCCCCCGCACTTCTTTGGGGATTTAAGCGGCATCAGAGGGACCCCCCCCCACCCCACCCATGCCCAGCGGTCCTGCGAGGTGACTGTAAATCAGACGGGAGGCTCCAGGGCTGAAAGGAAGGAGAAAGGCTACTTCTATGTCCACGGCTAAGGACTACGGAGGTGAACAGTGACCGTGAGGTCACTAGAGAGCCTTGGGAGGGCGTGCGGGGGCCTCGATTTTGCGTAAACAGGCGCTCTGTTGGGGAGATGGAGGCGTGGGACGTTGGGGGCCTCGTGGGGTCCTGCTTTAATATGTCAGGTAAAGCGAGGGAGAAAGAAAACACCCCCCACACAGCCTGTGGAGTTGCCAGGAGCCCCAGGGACCACAGCCCCGGAAGCAGGCCTCGCACAGCAGAAACGCCCGCACCAGACACAGACGTCAAGAACGCTTCAAAAAATCATGGCTCCGAGCACCCGCGTCAACAGGAGAACGTTTATTAGCCACGGTATTAATAGCTAGGAAACAGCCGGAGGTGGCCGGGGCCAATCAGCAACGAGGAGCCCCTGTCGTCAGGCCCCCACGGCCAATCAGACGCCAGGAGGCCCAGTTGCTAGCCTCTCGGGGGCAGAGGCGAGGGGCGCGCATTGTCATGGGGCTCGCAGTTCAGCCCTCCGTGCGTGGGAACTGTGGTGGCCGCCAGGGAGCAACCGCAGCCTCGCACCCGGGGGCCCCGGAGGCTGTCGTACAGACAGTGCCAGCTCGCGTCAGCCCTGCAGCCCCAAGAGGATGCGAGTTGACGTTCTGGTGGAAGCCCCAGGCCTCGTTGGGGTGCTCCTGGAGCCCTTAAGATGGAGAAATTCCAGACACCCAATGTCCAGTCTCTCCCCTCGAGAGCTGGGGCCCCTGCAGGAAGTTGGGCCTCCCAGTGGGAAGCCAGCTTTTCTGGGCTCCCTGGCTCTTAAGTCTGCTCCTTCGAGGTTCGCAGTAAACCCCAGTCTTCTATTTCAGGGCCTTACTGACAGGCCAAGAAAAAAGACCCTGGAAATTATGGGTTTTCTACAAAGCACCGCGGGTTTGAATCCTGGCTCTGCTCCCTCCGTGCTGGGAGGCTGAGGTCCAGGCCCTCCCCCTCTCTGGGCCCCCTACTTCCTCATCTGGAAAAAGGAAAAACTTGGACAAGATGGTCCCCAAGGAGCCTTCCAGTCCTCCTTTGCTTGATTTGAATGTATACATCAGGCGAGTCAAATGTCTTCCAGAACATTCTGTATGACAGTAATTAGTATCAGGTGTATCCTGCAGCCCATGTGGTTACTTCATCATGCTGCTTTTCTTTCCATTGTATTTTATTTTAAACAGAACTCCATAGCAACATGTTTACCCTTCTGGTTTCCAGAAAGAAAAGAAAAGAAAGAGAGAAAGAGGAGAGAGAGAAAGAGAGAGAAAAAGAAAGGAGAGATGGACGTGGTAAGGCAAAGAGAAAGAAAAGACTTCTGCAAACTAATCTCCACTGAACACGGTTTAACCACAATTTAAAAAAATCCATATGTTTAAACGTTTTTGTTGGCTTTTCTGGAGCTCAGAACTTAACTTTTTAAATATTTATTGGTCCAAAGCAATGGAAGAAATTCTTGAAGGAGCCAAACCTATGGTAATGCTTGGATCTGAACTATTTCTCAATCTGAGCAATGCTATACATGCTTTCTTGCTCAAAAAGGCCATTCAGGGGCTCAGATTTGTATCTATAGGGGAAACAGACAAGGAAATCCAGGTTTGAGAAATGGAGCGCTTTCTGTGCATGCTGAAACCCAACTCTCCTGACATCCTGGAGGAGAGCCAGTGTCCCAGACGCGCGGCTTAGCTTGCTGCTTTTTTTTTTTTTCTTCACATAGATCTAATTCAAAGCACACATTTTTCTTCTTTTTTTAATTCATACTTGGGAACCCTCAAAAGCCGTGTGAGCAGCCTCCTATCCACATGTACATACTTATGGGCAAGGGGACAAACCTCCTAAGAGCCAGCCAGGAAATGAAGACAAGGTCCTCCTATACCCATCTCCCAGACATGGGTAAATGCACTCTCTTCTCAAAAATCATACTGTGAACCCCGAGCGCCTCCCCCTCCAAGCAGACTTCCCAGTTTTCCATGTACCCCTGAAATTTAGCATGCACCAGAACTCTCTTGAGTCCCTCTCCCTCACTCCCCCGGGGGGCTGCAGTGATAGGGAGGCTGCTTCGGCTACCTCGTATGTAAGGTGCCACTGCTTCTATTGATGCCAATCTCTACTTCTAGTGCCAGCTTCTGGCCATTCAAACCCCTGAACATCACTGAACCCCCTCCCCCTCCCATTCTGCTATAGAACTCAGCTCAAGCCAGAGAAGCAATAGAGCACATGGGGGGTCTTCCATGGGGCTGTTTTTTCTTGTGGGACAAGGGAAAGTCTGTCATGGTCAAGTACAACCTCTACCTCCCATAAGAGGTGAGACTTGGCCAGGCGCGGTGGCTCACCCCTATAATCCCAGCACTTGGGGAGGCCGAGGCGGGTGGATCACGAGGTCAAGAGATCGAGACCATCCTGGTCAACAAGGTGAAACCCCGTCTCTACTAAAAATACAAAAATTAGCTGGGCACGGTGGTGCACGCCTGTAGTCCCAGCTACTCGGGAGGCGGAGGCAGGAGAATTGCTTGAATCCAGGAGGCGGATGTTGCGGTGAGCCGAGATCGCGCCATTGCACTCCAGTCTGGGTAACAACAACAAAACTCCATCTCAAAAAAAAAAAAAGAGGTGAGACTTGGCATCAGGTAGCCAAGGATTTGGAGGAAGTGATCAAAGGCACACCGGGCCTGTCTTCTGGGATCTTGACATTGACAGCAGCTCGTCCAGAAACCATACCGATCCCAGCTCCCAGTGCCGGGAACACTCCGCTCCCTTAAAACCAGAGTTCTGGGCACAGCACCAGCCTTGCATAGAAGAGTTTGCCAAATTGTAGATGCAAAAAGACAAATAAAGTTCAACGCCTTTCACAGAAGGCCAAAGATGAAGTTTAATTCCAGGTAGACCGCTGGGCTTCAAGGCAGGGCAACTGTGTGTTTGAGCTAAAAAGACTTCCACCCGTTTCCCATTGACCAGCTGTAACCCAAGAGGAAATGCTCAACAGCAGAGTGGCCCTTTTCCTCATCGGCCTCTGGAGGGGTGTGGTATGTGGACAAGCAGGGGACGTTGCACCTTGGGACTACTTTTCAACTAGTGTCAAGGAAAAAGCTGGAGGATAATGCCCCGAATGGTACCATCAGTTGTGCTGGATGAATGCATTCTGAGTGATTTTTCTTCTTCTTTTCTACATTTACAAATTTCTCTACTGCCATATATTCCTCGTGTGTGTGTGTGTATGTGTGTGTGTGTGTGTGTGTTTTAATGCTGCAGTCTAAAGCCAGGCATAATGGCATATGCTATACCCCTAGCTACTCAGGAGGCTGAAGCAGACAGAATCACAGAATCACAGGCCTCCAGCCTACGAGTTCAAGGCCAGTCTGGGCAACATAATAAGACCCAACTGTAAAAAAAAAAAAATGGTTTTAATGTATCAGTACAAGAAGAGTGACTCTTTTAGCCTCTTTTTTATTGGCCTCTATTAAAAAATCTTCTTCTATGGCCGGGCGCGGTGGCTCAAGCCTGTAATCCCAGCACTTTGGGAGGCCGGGGCGGGTGGATCACGAGGTCAAGAGATCGAAACCATCCTGGTCAACATGGTGAAACCCCGTCTCTACTAAAAATACAAAAAATTAGCTGGGCATGGTGGCGTGTGCCTGTAATCCCAGCTACTCGGGAGGCTGAGGCAGGAGAATTGCCTGAACCCAGGAGGCGGAGGTTGCGGTGAGCCGAGATTGCACCATTGCACTCCAGCCTGGGTAACAAGAGCGAAACTCCGTCTCAAAAAAAAAAAAGAAAATCTTCTTCTAGTAAGTAAATAAAAATCAAGAAACCCAGGATCCATGTCCTGCATAGAATAAGGCCCAGTTCCTGGACAGAGGCATTCATACATGGGTGGTAGGTGTGGGGTGGGCACAGGGGTAGGTGCCAGGGGCAGCCACCTAGCTTCGTCCAATTTCTGGAAGGACTCTCCTGAATCTGCCCCAGGGGTGAACAAATTCCAAGCTGGTAAAAGCAAAAAAGTGCACCTCAGTGGTTTCATTCCTACTGGAGGGACCTAAAGAAATCCATGTATGAGAAGACAAAGCAGGCCAAGAACAGGGTCCTGATGACGCAGACCACTGCCGTGGGTTGGGTTCTAGAA